TCAGATTGCGAGTCGAGCGCCCCCTAACCACCTGGCCATGCCGGGCCTTTAATTTTGTTGCACATTACTTACTTTTGTACGTTTCCCAGTCTTTTATACGTACTTGCTTACATAACTTACATCAAATTTATGTTTTAATGTTCATGTTACTTTTGAACATGCATGTTTTTAAAACTTTTATTCTCATTGCGTAAGGATGCTCAAAATTATTTATCTATTTAGTTTTTGTTTTTACGAAATTTGGTCTTTGTTCTGATCATCACGTAGGCTTAGTGGTTACGGTTCTCGGCTCGCGGGATCGACATCCGTCAGTGAACATGTGAGGGTCAAGTTCCACTACTATCTGGTAAAGAATAGCCTAAGAGTTGGCGATGGGTGCTGCTGGCTAGTTGCCTTCCTTTTAGTCAGGCCCGGCATGGCCAGGAGGTTAGGGCACTCGACTCCCAATCTGCGGGTCGCGGGTTCGAATCCCCACCTAACATGCTCGCCATTTCAGCCGTGGGGGCGTTATAATGTGATTTTCAATCCCACTATTCGTTGGGAAAAGAGTAGCCCAAGAGTTGGCGGTGGATGGTGATGACTAGCTGCCTTCCATCTAGTCTTACTCTGCAAAATTAGGTACGGCTAGCGCAGATAGCCCTCGTGTAGCTTTGCGCGAAATTCAAAAACAAACAACCCTTTTAGTCCATCAGTTGAAAATTAGGGACAGCTAGTGCAGATAGTCCTTGAAGAGTTTTGCATCGAATTTGACAAACAAATTAGACAGTTTACAAACAGCGTTGTAGCTGAAACATAATGGGATTTTAACTTGTTTTAATAACAAAACCTGATAAACAGAATTTTTTTTAAATATGCACTACCGGCACTTGTGTTTAAATTTTCTTTTTTAATTATAATAAATAATTAAAAACAACGTTTTATATTTACACAATAAAAACTTTATTGAAGCCGTACGGCTTCCACTTTAAAATATATCTCTACAAGTACATGTTTCGACGTGATCTACGTACGGCTTCAATAGTTTTATATTGTGTAAATATAAAACGTTGTTTTTAATTATTTATTATAAATAAAAAAACTCTACTATATGACAATACGAATGAGTATAACTCTGTCCCGTAGCTATAAGAACTAACATAATTCTACCATGTGACAGTAAGAAGTAATATGACTCTGTCATGTAGTTATAACAGCTGACATAATTCTACTATATGACAATACGAATCAGTATAAACTATGTCACGTAGCTATAAGAACTAACATAACTTCACCGTGTGACAGTAAGAAGTAATATGACTTGTCATGTAACTTAACAGCTAACATAACTCTACCATGTGACAACAAGAATTAATATGACTCTGTCACGTAGCTATAACAGCTAACATAACTCTACCATGTGACAACAAGAATTAATATGACTCTGTCATGTAGTTATAACAGCTAACATAGCTCTACCATGTGACAACAAGAATTAATATGACTCTGTCACGTAGCTATAACAGCTAACATAACTCTGTCATATGAAAATAAGAAACAATATAACTCTATCACTTAAGCTGTAAGAATTTACATAGCTCTACAATCAGACAATAGAAAACAGCATAATAATGTCACGTGGATTGAAAGAAAACGTCACTGTGTCCTATAAGTTCGAAATACAATATAAAAACGTTGATAGAAGAAGGAGGGGCGTTGATAGCTACCGAACAGATTGAGCCCCAAGAAACAGCTACTACTCAAAATAATTACAACATAATTTTACTGTAATATATTATAGTTTAAGTTAGATAGATCTAGATAACGAGCCCTGTGGGCCAATGTTCGGCAACGCCCCTTAGAACAAGTGTAGATTATCGACTTGAGATACATTACCTCAATTGCCAATAAAACTAGCATCATTCGTTCAATTTAGAAGACAAAATCGAATGTGCTATTTAAACAAATCAATCATAGAACAAAGGGGAATCCTCAATAGCCGCATCTGTAATTAAATCTCAAATCGGTTAAGAGATGGAGCTATGAGCTAAAAGCTTTCGCTTGAAAAAAAACTGAAAGCCATTCTATCAGCCGCTATGTCGCGGCTAAACATTTAGGACTCTGCTCAAGACACTATGAGAACCACCTTACTTTTCTTTTAAAACTTATAATTTACCAATTTGACATAAAATGTCAAAGGTGCTGGTGGAACTGGCTTAAGTTGTCAGTTTGGAATTAATGTAATATAAAATATTTGATTCTAATGTACTGTGAAAATTATTCAGATGAATCAAATGAGTTGACACTCAAACCACCATGCGTTTCCAATTCGAAATGTAATATAAAACAAGTTTTTTATTTACAAATTTGGAAAAGACGGTCATAAGTTATATACAGGAAAGAGGTTAAATTGCCTGTTTGAAAATACATTGCCAAAGTGCTCATACAACAAGCTATGTATACACTTACAACAGGAAATGTATTTAGATTTAAGGTCATCATAAAAAAAGGTACTTTAACTTACCAATTTTAAGAACATTATCGAAAGTGCTGTTGTCCGCTAGAGTCGAACAATTCCACCTTCTATGTCTGAACTGCCAATGGCATTCCCTAATACCCAGGTTGGCTCCTCTGGCAATGTAGTGGATGTGGTCGTAATAGAGCAGGCAGAGTTTAAACTGACCCTTGGACAATCCAGTGAGTTGTGAGCATAGCGGCTGAGTGCCCACCAAGTAAACTTGAGGGTTTTGAATAATATACAGACCCTGCAATCCCAGAGACCTACATAAAATATAAAAACACACAAATTAGAAATTACTAACCTATATCCAAGAATGTAATATTGTATATATTATGACATTACTTATTTAGATTCTTAAAAAAAATCACATTGTTAGAGCCTAGAATCGTACACAAAAAACCTTCATAAAAATTATATTGTTAGAACTTAGAAAATTACTCAGGAACATACCATTGGTTATAAACTAGAAATCTATTCAACAAACTTTCATAAAAATCATACTATTAGAACTTAGAAAGTTATATAGAAACATAACATTGGTTATAACTTAGAAACCCCCACAGGAAACCTTCATAAACATTATACTGTTAGAACTTAGAAAGTTACACAGGAACATAACATTGGTTATAGCCTAGAAACCTACAAAAAAACCTTCATGAAAATTATATTGTTAGAACTTCGAAATTTACATAAAAATACAGTCTTTTTATAGATTCTTAAAAATCTACTCATAAAGTGAACTTTATGATTCGCTGTATTATCACGTGACTAGAAACGTATTAAAAAGACATCATTATATGATGAAAATGCAAACTAACGCCTTAGGGGGTTCTCCGAAAACATAGAAATCTCTTACAAAAGGGCGCGAAATGGCGCTATGGTCAGTTCTGGATTTCGGAGCTGATGAGCCGAGTTCGAAACGGTGTGATACCACAAAATATTACCCGCGCTTTAAACTTAACGTGGGTGGTATAGTACTGGTGACTATCTGCCTTCTCTCTTGTTGTTAATTCAAAATTAGGAACGGTGGCACATAGCCTCAGTAGAATTGCCATAAATACAAAATACAATATATATTTATATATAAACAAAAATGTAACAATTTAAAACATTTATCGAAAATTTGAACGATTTCGTTGATGAAACGCACTTACTCTTGTATTTTGCTATAAAAAAACAGTATGTATTTTATTTGAGTAAAATGTATAAGATTTCATATTAGAAACACATTACCACAAATTTGGAATGTTCTCAATGAAAAACACAAAATGTGCTTATAACTCAGACGTATGAAAATTATAGCACATCAAGAAGTTAAAATTCAAAGTTGTTTCGCCCAAAGTGCATATTATGTGTGCGTTTGCAGTTTAAGCTCCATTACGTCAGAACTTAACGCCGTATCGTACATAGAAGGTCGTAACGGATATTAATAGTAACGTTAGAAATCTACGTACGGGACAGTTTTGTTTCAACTTTACATAAGGGACAGTTTTGTTCCAACTTTACACAAGGGACAGTTTTGTTCCAACTTCACACAAGGGACAGTTTTATTTCAACTTTAATTCCCGTCAATACTTTTAACCATAACTAAGTTTCTTAGTTATGAAAGGGTAAGAAAAGTTATTTTTGTACCGCTTTAAATGCTGGAAATTAGTTAGTTCTAGTTCTTTTTAATATGTTGATTTTTCGGCTTTCAATTTTGTTCGAAACACACTAACTAACCTGCTAATTAAAGACGAAAAAGAAAAGCTACTGAATCTAATTTTACCACGAGTAAGGAGATTTTTTTTATGAAAATTATTTCCAGATGTGGGTCTATAAACTATAGCGTCAAAGGAAAAACTAAGGTCCTTTACAAATCGGATTAAGGCTTAATTGGTATGGTTTTGTTCAGCTATACTTCGTTTCGAATTCTTCACAAGTCATCTTCTGCGTGACCTGGTATGTCTTACAATCGTTTTATCAAGCCGTCAGTAATTACAGAGTCAGTGCTGCAAGAGAGGCGTTACTATTTACAGTTCCAGTGGAATTTGACTACCAAAATATAAACGAGACTCGCGAAAACGTGTTATTAAAGGAAATCAATTTTGGTGTTGATCGGTTGGACCACGCCAGGAAGAGGATAGCATGGTGTATCTTTGGAAAATCTTTTTTTTTTTCTTTTACTCACGTTACTCACGTCTTCTTGCGTGACTCTGCATACTTCTAATGAAGCTCGTCTAAAAATCCTTTCGAAGGTCTTGAGTCAGCTCGAAAACATTCTACTCTCTATAATATATAAACAAATCAAAGGAGCGATACTACTGTAGGCCTTCATTTAATAGC